GTGCTGAAAATAAAGAGACATGTCAAAAAACTGGCAACTCCCTTTCTACTCCTCTGCGGTAGCAGTGGGAGAAAGTGATGTCAGACAGCTTACTCCCAGTGCTCTAAGGAAGCTGCATGGGAGTGATGTGACAATCCTACCAAGCACTGTCTCCCAGATCATAGCCCCACTATTACTCGATACCCAATATTTGTTGGCACACGTGTGTCTACCTGTGTACTGGTTTCTGTGCAGTGCTTGACTGAAAGTGAGCCACGATGAAGTCACACATACAGCAGTGTGAATTTCTACTTTTTTTTTTTTTTTAAATAAAACACAAACACATATTAATAAAATCTAAGGAATAAGTAAACATATTGCAAACCCTTGGATTCAACTCTTTTTCTATAATCTGTATTTGTGTATCCTGCGTTTATTAGCATGCTCTATTCCTTCATCCATTGCCTTCTGAATGAACAGATACACATATGGTTATACTAGGCAAAACAAACACTCTGGATTTCTATTTATATTCCATTGCTTTTAGTCCTGTATTATGTTATTTATATACTGCTTTAATTAAATTATCATACAGTCACTCTATTCTTGGTACCTGGAAAAGTCAAGCAATTCCGTGGAAATAAATTAAACATAACATTTAATCAGTGCATAAAATAAAAACCTATGTCTTAAATAATGTCCTTAAATTAGTTCAAATAGGTTAATTGCTGAGGTACCATTGCATTTATGGGTTGCTAAGCAACCATGAGATTCTTCAAAAAGCATGTTAAATGGAATACTATAGACCAGAATACTGTGTAGTTTGTATTCATCTATATTATTTATTGGAATATCCAACATATTTCCTCTAAGTGCCTGTGTCAATAGTATGCTATTAATACTTGCTGAGCGGAGAACTAAATTGATATGATTCAGTATCTCTGTATGGCAGACATTGCATAGTGGGGAATGATGATGTGTGATGATTGCATAAGTCCTATGTTAGTCCTATTTCTGTAGTGTATTTTATCTTGTCACTGATAAAAAATGTAATAATGTGTAACCTGATAAAGTGGCGTTTCCATTTCCTCATAAACTTGTCTTTTACGAAACAGTAACAAGGTTGTGGCATGTTGCTGATTCAATGCTTTCTGTACTGTTTCCTTATTTAAAGCTGACATGATATTATAAGAATAATGGGATTTTTAGGTATATTTAACAAAGTCTGCGAAATCGTGCAGTAACGAACACCCGTTTTTTGTATCGATGGTTATGTTGGATAAAGTGATAAATACTGCAGCTTTTATGGAATGTGTTCCACAATGTTCAGCCAGTATAATAATTTATCTCCAGATTATGGAAATAATTATCAACAAAGGTGAAATATCACCTGGTGAAATATCCTTTCGTTGGCTGAAACCAAACTTTATTGGTGATATACATTACGCCATTGGCGAGTCAAAATTCAGCCCTAGTGAGTAGAAATTCACACTTGGTTTGTCTGCCATTGACCTTCCAGGGTAGCAGTGGGATTTATTTTTTAGGCCTGGCTGGTGGTGTAGGACTTAAAGGAACACTATTATGTCATTAATACAAACATGTATTACTGACACTATAGTTGTAAATGTTTTGTTTAAAGGACCACTATAGTGCCAGGAAAACATACTCGTTTTCCTGGCACTATAGTGCCCTGTGGGTGCCCCCACCCTCAGGGTCCCCCTCCCGCCGGGCTCTAGGGGGAGGAAGGGGTTAAACTTACCTCTTTCTCCAGCGCCGGGCGGGGAACTCTCCTCCTCCTCTCCAGCTGAATGCGCATGCGCGGCAGGAGCCGCGCGCGCATTCAGCCAGTCCATAGGAAAGCATTCACAATGCTTTCCTATAGACGCTGGTGTCTTCTCACTGTGAAAATCACAGTGAGAAGCGCGGAAGCGCCTCTAGCGGCTGTCAATGAGACAGACACTAGAGGCTGGATTAACCCATTTATAAACATAGCAGTTTCTCTGAAACTGCTATGTTTTTAGAAAAAAAGGTTAAACCTAGCTGGACCAGGCACCCAGACCACCTCATTAAGCTGAAGTTTTCTGGGTGCCTATAGTGGTCCTTTAAGTCTCTGGCACCCCCTTGCCCTATAAAGGTTTCTTTGTTCACCTTTTTTCCAGAGCCATGCAGGTTTCCTCGTGGCTGGTCCCAACTCCACCCCATCCTTTGCTGAGCTCGTCAAATTTAATGATCTCGGCAAATCCAATGTTTTCCCATAGGAAAGCATTGGGAGGCTACTGCACATGCATCTTGAATCAATGCATCTCTATGAGGAGCATTCAGCATGAATGGAATGGAATACCAGTGCAGCACTGACCCAGGAAGTACCTCTAATAGCCACCGGAGTGATTGCCACTAAAGGTGTTCCTAGGCGGTAATGCACTGCCTTTTCAGTTTACATTAAAAAGTCTGCAGGGACAGGCAGTTGACACCAGAACAGCTACATTAGGCTGTAGTTGTTCTGGTGACTATAGTGTCCCTTTAATAGGCTGAGCCTTCACTATGCACACAGGTCCAGACTTACATCCTCCATGCTCTTAAACTAAAAGATTGGAGACACCTATTTCTAAACCTCAGGAAGCTATATGTTAATAGGTTTGTGGGTAAGGTAAAAGGAAATTTAACATGTGAGTGTCTTTTTTTAAGGGGGTATGGTCACTTCTTAGTAAAAATGCCCATTTATTGAGCCATATCTCACTTGCTCATTTTCCTTGGCTGTAATAGAGACCATCTCTGGAAGTCTAGGGGATAAAGCCTGAGAATTGAGTACTGTCTAACTCTGCTCTCTGAGTCTCTACTCCCTAATGCCTCATGATGATGGATGCAGCTTTGTGGTGTCATATCCCTGCCACCTCTGGCTGACAATGTGAGAGAGCAAAGACACAGAGAATTGTGCAGGTCCGTGCTTAGAATCATCACAGAGTGCCTTGAGGTAGATTTCTCTGGCCTTCCACGCAGCTCTCAGACTCATTGCCTGTCACTGTCCCTGGTAACAGTGAGGGCTAATTGGACAGCTCTAGAACACCTATTAACTGCTACACTGACCATTCACTATTGCATTTTCTGTGATATGTCAAGGCAGTGTGGCAGTGTGATGTGTCATGGTGTGCAACTACTGGTAGGTGGTTATGGTGCTTGGTGTGTGCCTTTAAATAAAACAAAATTAAACTCTAGCTTTGCAAGCAAAAATCTCTTCCCTGCCAGCGTCACACATGTTCTGACATCAGCCACATCTGAGCTTTATTTAGCTTTTATTGCTTTATTTAGATTATGAGAAAATTAGCAGAACAGCTGCTGGAGAAACTTGCTTATAGGTATAAAAAAAACACCTTAAGAAGGCAGAAAAAAGAAGCATCTGCGTCTGTTAAACAATGGAATGAATGGCTACGATTATTCACTGGTGAACATTGTGTTTCCTGGAAGTCTGAAATAGAAAATGCCAATTATTTCTGAAGAAAGCATCTGGAAAGATAGATATTCCACATGGAATTACAATGCTAAATCATTCAATATGTATCAAATGTGTTGGGTTTGGAACTATTTTTTTTTTTGTCAGAACATATACATGCCACTTTAATGTGAGAATTTCATAGTGAATTTCAAATTTATGGACAAATTGCCAAACTGTAAAATTCTTCTAAGTCAGCTTTGCTGCCAGTTCAGCAACTTTTGACCTTACATTTTCACTTTGAATTCTCACCTCAGTGAATAGCAACAGTGATTGAAAATGGCCTATATACCATAAAACAGTACTGACTATAATTTAAAGCGATATGTGCAGACATTGGCGTACACATGACCCATGGGGCCCCGGTTCGAAAATTCATCCGTGGGGCCCCCCCCGCGCGCTTACTCGCCGCGGGTCAGGGCCGCAACACATGGCGGCGGGCACCTGGTCACAGTGGTTGCAGGGCTGCGACCCTACGACCGCGGTATGCACACACACTTAAAAGACCACTATAGTGCCAGGAAAACATACTCACCGGGCTCTGGGGAGAGGAAGGGGTTAAAATCTTACCTTTCTCCAGCACGGGCGGGGAGCTTTCCTCCTCCTCTCCTTCTTCCTAGCGACGTCATCGGCTGAATGCGCATGCGCGGCAGGAGCCGCGCGCGAATTCAGCCAGTCTCATAGGAAAGCATTTGCAATGCTTTCCTATTGACACTGGTGTCTTCTCACTGTGATTTTCACAGTGAGCAGCACGCAAACGCCTCTAGCGGCTGTCGATGAGACAGCCACTAGAGGCTGAATTAACCCTCAGTGTAAACATAGCAGTTTCTCTGAAACTGCTATGTTTATAAAAAAAAGGGTTAATCCTTGCTGGACCAGGCACCCAGACCACTTCATTAAGCTAACGTGGTCTGGGTGCCCATAGTGGTCCTTTAAATCTATCGCCGTGCTTTAGAATTCCAGCAGTTAGCTCTTCCAGACAAAGAAGTTATCAGCCAATCAGGATGCTCCAATAACTTTTTAGTGAAATGAGTGATCAATCAAATGAAGTTTTCATGCTTTATTTGCAGAACAATGAGTGCTCTGATGTGAACTGACATGTTAGGATAGAAACATTTAAATACATAAAGGGAATCAACACAGTAAAGGAGGAGACTATATTTAAAAGAAGAAAACTACCACAACAAGAGGACATAGCCTTAAATTAGAGGGACAAAGGTTTAAAAATAATATCAGGAAGTATTACTTTACTGAGAGGGCAGTGGATGCATGGAATAGCCTTCCAGCTGAAGTGGTAGAGGTTAACACAGTAAAGGAGTTTAAGCATGCGTGGGATAGGCATTAGGCTATCCTAACTATAAGATAAGGCTAGGGACTAATGAAAGTATTTAGTTGGGCAGACTAGATGGGCCGAATGGTTCTTATCTGCCGTCACATTCTATGTTTCTATGTTTCAACTACTACTCAAATATCTATAAAAAATATATTCAACAGGATGGCTCATGGATAGAGTAACATGTGGCATATACTCTAAGTTCTATCACAGAATGTATTTATTAGATTGATCTAATAGTCACCATCTTACTGCTATTCGGATACCTCCTGACTGCACTATATAACTCTTCTCAACAGGGTGATATTTAAGTTCGGAGCAGTAGAATCAGTACAACATTAAATTGTATTTCATTCTATCACTGCTTACAACAGCTCAAGTTCAGTCTGCCATACACAACGTCCACACTTCCCTACATTTAATGTTTTCAATCATATAAAGGTTACCTTCTAAAGTAGAAATGTCACCTTGGGCACGAAAGCAAGTTACTTAGCATTTTATTGGTTTCTCATGAGCTCCATGAGACGGGGTAGACCAGTGGAATTCATGTCCTAAACACAAATCAGGGACATTTGCCAAGTTTACTTCAATGACATAAAGCTATCTCGAAATTGAAATTCTTTGTAATGTTTTCTTAGTTAGACATAAATATATTGGTAATGTGCTAAATCGAAGGATGCACTATATAAAACATTCACTGCAATTTATTTCTTTAGTTCGTTCGGTATACATTTGTGCAGTGGTTTATAAGTAATAATCTTCTTAGAATTATTAGTGGATTTTAGGAAGCAATTAAACACAGGGACCTAGGGTATTTCCTATAGTATCACTGTTTAGATCAGTGGTAGTCAACCTTTTTCTACCTACCGCCACTAATGCATCTTTCTTGATTGAAAAATTTCCTTACCGCCCACCAGTTTTCGCGCAAGTGCAGAATATTTTTTAGAAAGGAGGGTGTTTTTAAATTTTTTTTTTTTTAAATGTACATACATTTATCTTTTTATTTCTACTTAATGCATGTTTATAATGTTTTTAACTTTATAAAGTTTAATGAGAAAACAATAAAGTAAATTGAAATTACCTTTACTAGTGATTAATGAGATCCTTGAGGTTGATGCTGCGAGACTAAATATTTGATATCTGGTTCGATATTCGTAAGGAACAAACGAAGGTCTCCTCTTTCGGTGATATTCAGACGACTTCTCTTTTTGCGTATAATATGATTTCTCATCTGTGCGTCAGCTCCCCGCCTCTCCCTCCTCAATTCCACTCCCCACCTTTTTTCTTTTCCTTTTTTCTATTTTTTTAACCTTCCTTAAAGCAATGCCCAGTAGGAAGGCTGAGCATACTATTACTTACTATAGCCCACTATAACAGACACGCACACATAAACACATACAGACACACACACACAAGACACACATACACAATTACAGACACACATACAAAGACACATACATACAAACAGACAGGCACACATACATACATACATACAAACACACAGACAGGCACACACATACAAGACACATACATACAAACAAACAGGAACACATACATACAGACACACACACACACAGACATGCACACATACATACAGACACACACATACAAAGACACACACATAAGACATATATACAAAGACACACACACACACATATAGACACAAGACACACATACATACAAAGACACATACATAAGACACACATATATACAGACAGACACACACACACACGACATACATACAAAGACACACACATACATACAAAGACACATACATAAGACACACATACATACAAAGACACATACACACACATACATACAAACAAACACACACAAAATATTTTAGTCACCCTCCTGTTTCCTACCTTTTAGGTGCAGGAAGGTGACATTCCCTGGGGTCCAGTGGTGGCTCAGGTGGATGGGAGTCAGAGTTCCCACGATGACTCCCTTTTCCTTCCTCCCGCGTGGTCTGTGTGTTAGCTGGGAGGAGTGACGTGCAGTCACTTCCTCCCAGCTCTGTGATGTAATCACAGGTGGCCCGGTCCCGCTGTTAAAGCACCCAGCACTGACCGGGCCCCCTTACAATCCACATCCATCGGGTTGCCCTGACAGCAAGGGCCACCCCATGGACGGCGGCCCTGGCGGTTTACCGCGCGGGCCGGGGCCGCAAATGGTGATGGTGGTACCCGGTCGCAGGGGTACCGCTGGCTTGCACCCGCACGCCCATTCTCTCAAAATGAGGAAATCCCTACCGCCCACCTGGAATCCTGAAACGCCCACTAGTGGGCGGTAGGGATCAGATTGACGACCCATGGTTTAGATTATTACTAATGGAGTTATTTAATGAACTATGAACAATGGAGAATCGATAAAGTAATTGCAAATTTTAGGACAATAGAGCTATTCTAGGTAAGCTATTTTTCCAGCTTTCCAGTTAGTACGTCAGTTCATCACAATTTTGGTTTTGGTAACTGACTTTATCCATATTTTCAGCATCAGAAAATCTTGCACTGCAGTAAATTACCTTGCAATTTCAGAGGAGGATAGGTATAAAGAGTACAATTCTGAGACAATTTTCCATAATAGGAGCAACCATTTCATGTTTTTTCAATGAGGCTATCCTCAGAAATACTCTTTATACATAATTCTGATAGCAGTAATGTATCGGTCAGTAAAGAGGTATAGAAACTAAAGATCAAGGAGAAAAGGAAAAAACACATATATAAAGCATTTTTTCTTTTCTTGCAAACTCGTATGTTTCTTCCCTATAACCTGGATGACAGGAACAGTCACAGAAAAAAATATATTTATATATAAATACAAGTACTTGCTTACATTATAGTGTTAAAAACCCATTGACAACAAGAATGAAGAATTCAGAGTGTGAATGCATTTACAAATTTTAACAACCTGCATTTAAACATATCAATAACAAATACAACGAAAATACATTGAAAACACGCATAAGTAATGCAGCATAGAATAGAATAGCAACAAATATTTCACACTCCTTAACAGCTATATACACATACACACCCACTCTCACACACACACCAATGCAGAGTCAACGGACATTCGGTATTGTAAGGACAAGTCAAAAAGAACAATACAAAATCTGTCATCTTATTTAAAGGACCACTATAGTGCCAGGAAAACATACTAGTTTTCCTGGCACTATAGTGCCCTGAGGGTGCCCCCACCCTCAGGGTCCCCCTCCCGCCCGGCTCTGGAAGGGGGAAAGGGGTTAAAACTTACCTTTTTCCAGCGCTGGGCGGGGAGCTCTCCTCCTCCGATCCTCCTCTTCTCCATTAAGCTGAAGTGGTCTGGGTGCCTAGAGTGGTCCTTTAATCTTGTAAAAATGAGAATAAAAGTGGTGGGATATGCTTCATATGGTGCACCAATAAGAAGAATGCACCAATGAGAAAAATGTATACTTTTTTTTTTTTTTTATTAAAAGAAGAATATATTCTACTTAGTAATTACATTGTCCAGATAGATCGACAGTTGCATGGTGCTTTCTAGTAAGAAGCTAAGCAGGCAACATTTTTGTCCATTATTTCTCATTAAGCAGAGGTTTTGTGCATTGAGCTGTTGCTATGTGGCTGGGCATGAAATGGCTTCACTGACGGTTACTTGTGCATAAACTGGATATTGTGGTGATTTAAAATATCAACACAACTTTCATGTGTGTTTGTGGAGACAATTTCCCTGTGTTCTCTAACTCCATTCTACCTTGCCTTGATGGTCTTGCGGCAACTGTTGGTTTGACAGACAGTTAGTTGGTCCTGGTTTCCTCCTCCTGAGCTGAGATAGCCCACTCCCCACTGCAAAGCACTGGTTGCCAGGCAATATGTTTTGTGGACAATTAAATCAATTCCAATATGCAGTGTGACACTCTGTCCATATATGTTAGTGTGTGAACTCAATCTTTATATTCAACCAGAAAGATAGTTACTTCAAAATGGCACGTTAATGCAGGTAGGGACCTAAATCAAGGAGAATGTGGACAGTTAAGACCTATATTATGGTAAACCTGAGCACAGCGGGCACACTGCTTGTGCATACCAATGGTTTCATCACACAGGACTTCATACTGCATGGAATTGGGTAATATGAGAGGCCTGTGCAGGGTCTCCATTGCTACAACATTATGGTCAGCAGGCATAACTATACTCTATGGCAGGGGTAGGCAGCCTCTTGCACTCCAGATGTGAACTACATCTCCCACAATGCATTTACAACCATAATGCTGGCAAAGCATCAGGGGAAATGCAGTCCACAACATATGGAGTGCCGAAGGTTGCCTACCCCTGCTCCATGGCATTGGTAGGAGAACTTGGCTTTTGGATATATTCAGGGCCAGTGCAATAATTTTTGGCTGCATTCCCACTCCAAAACGCATCTTCACCTGTATTCCCCTTGATCCCCTCATAACTTCAGCCCCATTTGTGTTTCTCATACTTTCTTTTTGAATGTCTTATCCCCTTTAGTATATCTTATTCCCCATTTTTCCATTTTTGTGTTTCTTACACCTCCCCTTTGTGTGTCTCTTTCTATCCCAGCTCCTTTGTGTGTCTCTTACTTCACTCAGCCCCTTCATGTGTATCTCCCCCCCAACACCTTTGTGTACCCTTTTCTCCCATTTCCTCTTCCCCTCTCTCAAACACCTTTTTGGGTGTTTTTTTTTCTCACCTTCCTCATTCCCTCTGTGTGCTTCCACACCGTTGCTCCTTTTGTGTATCTATTTTTCCCCTTTCTCACACCCTGTATGTCTCTTTGTCCTCCCAGCCCCTCTGTGTCTCTTTTACGTCCATCTCCTTGTCTCTTTGTCTCCCCGCAACCCATCTGGATGTCTCCCCCAGCACCTGTCTGACTCTGCTCCCTCCCAGCCCCTCTGTCTCTTTTTGTGCCCTCCAAAACCTTTCTGTATCTCTTTCTCCTTCTAGCCCTTTTTGTGTGTAGTTTCCCCTTCCAAACCCCTCTGTGTGTCTCCTCCCTCTAGCTCATTGTCTGTTTCTCCCCCAGCCCCTCTGTGTCTGTTTGTGTCCCCCAGCCGTTCTGAGTGTCCCCTTAGCCCATATATGTAACTTTTGCCCATCCTCAGCCCTTCTGTGTCTCTTTCTATCCCCACCCCTGTCTGCCTCTTTTAAACCATTGCTAAGCCCCTTTGTGTCTCTTCATCCCCCACCTCCTCTGAACTTCTCCCCCCCAAACCAGTCTGTCTCTTTTGCCCCTTCTCCAGCCAATCTCTTTGTGTCCCCTCAGCCCATTTATGTCTGCTTGTGTTCCCTCAGCTATTTTGTATCTGAAAGTATCCCCACAGCCCCCCTCTTCCCCCCATGCCAGCTCATCTCCCTCTTGTAGCATGCCTGAGCCATGGGCCGGATCTTGATCCTCTCTACCTGGTCTGACAGGAAGCAGTTCGGCAGACCAAGTAGAGAGAAACAAATTCCTCTACCCTGGTCCATGGCTCGGCCATGCTACAATTAATGACTGGCAGGAGTAGAGAACTGTGCAGCCGGTCCAACTGTGGGTAAGGATATGGAATTGATTTATTTCCACACATTTTTTCTTTTTTTAATAATAATATTTAAAAACATATTTCTTATGTTAGCCACCATACCACAACAGACATTGTTATAATTATCATTATTATCTTTGTAATTTTAAAAAAATAATAATAAAAAAAAATCTTAATTAAGTTTATGGAAAGATACATACTGTCAGCTACATAAGCTCTGGAAAGTAAAAAAAAACAAAAAACAAAAAACAAATAACACAGATCTATCTGTTATGTTTGTCTGCCACTACTTTTTAAAAAAAAAATTTTAGCAACAAAATATTAAGGCCTCGATTAACGTTATTTGAATCAGCATCAGAAATGATGACCATCTGTTAGAAAATACACTTTTAAAACGATTTACCTAGAAACATTTCCATAGACTATCTTGTCGTCTGTAGATAAATAATTTAAATGTTTTTTCTACCAGAGTGGAATCATTTCAAATTCAAACTAATTAAAATTGAAACCTACACTGATCAGCCACAACATTAAAACCACCTGCTTACTATTGTGTAGGTTTCTCTCGTGCTGCCAAAAAAGCTCTGATTCGTTGAGCCATGGACTCCACTAGACCTCTGAATGTCTATTGTTCCAGCACATCCCTCAGATGTTCAATCGGATTGAGATCTGGGGAATTTGGAGGTCAAATAGTGTATTCTGCCATTTTTCTTTATCATGCCCAGTATTACGTTTTTCAACAAACTGAGCTACAGTAGCTCTTCTGTAAATGGATCAGGCGGGCCAGAGGGGCTAGCCTTTGTTCCCCACATGCATCAATGAGTCTTGGGCGTGCATGACACTGATGCTGGTTCACCGGTTGTCCTTCCTTGCACCACTTTTGGTAGGTACTAACCACTGCATACCAGGAACACCCCACAAAATTGCTGTTTTGGAGATGCTCTGACCCAATAGTCTAGCCACCACTGTTTGGTCCTTGTCAAAGTCACCCAGATCTTTTCGCTTACCCATTTTTCCTGCTTCCAACACATGAAATTCAAGAACTGACTGTTCACTTGCTGCCTAATATTTCCCACCCCATGACAGGTGCCATTGCAATGATATAATCAATGTTATTCAACTCACCTGTCAGTGCTTTTAATGTTGTTGCTGATCACTGTGTGTTTAGTTCGGATTTCTCATTGGACCATTTTAATTTCATAGGTTGATCAAAACATTCCAGAACCTAGGGAGCACCATAGTGCCATGAAACCCCACAAAGCATAGTGCCATTTGTACATTCAAGTTAACAATGTAAATAAGGCTTCATTTCTTGAAATAATAATCTGTAATAAGTTTGGAGATGAAGAAACCTCCATGGCTTCAATCGCAAATGGAAAATCGGCATTTGCTTAGAGTGCCATTATTTTAGAGATAATGCAAACTGTTAGATCAAATGGCTAATTTGTTCTGCAATCACCACCACTTGCCCTTTGCCCCAGGATACATCATCAAGTACATCTGAGACAGCACATAGTAAAAGCTGATCTATAAAAAGTTTGCTTATTGTAAAAACTTTTACATTTTTATTCTTTTTAGTGCTGTAGCGAATAGTAGCAAATGCATATGGCAATGCAACAGTGAGCTGATTTACATATGCTGCCCGGCAAAGCATACAAATGCAAATAATAAATCTGTAAAGAATTAAAAATAAATAAATACATTAGCACAACCTATAGATAACTTTTCGTTAGTTGTTAGGTTGTGCTAAAATTGAGTAACTGACAGTTCCTCTTTAAAAAAAAAAAAGTGGTTCTCTCACTCTGCAGAGTGAAGTGTGGAATTATTTTAAGAATGTATGTAGTAAATATCATTATGTGTGTCCCTGTACTGCGTGCTCACACTGCGTTCTCTTTTAAATAATGTCTTTTCTCTGTTCTAAATACTAGGATGTTTTCAGCTTCTGAGTAGGCAGAGAGAAAATGGGAGCCCATTTCATGACAGAAACATTTTCATTGTAGCAAAACAATTGTTCTATGATAAATTTGACAGTTTTTCTTTTGCTTTCAAGACACATTTTGCCAGCTTTGATACTGACATTAAACAGTCATTTCTATTCTTTAGAATAGTCATATATATGATATATATATATATATATATATATATATACACATTCAACAAAGATTTATAAAAAATTCAAGAAATGTTTTACAGGATTCACCTATAGGATATATTGTGGAATAAGTATTGCATCATTCCATGTGTAGATATAACTCAATGTGAAATAGAATTTTTACAGAATTGTACATTTGTTATAAAATTGTTAGAAGAATAAAGAAACATAGTATTGTTCATGGGCTAGAGAACAGTACAAATGAGTTTAGAGGAACAAACAGAATTATATTTTAGAGGAGGCAAATACAAGTCTTGTACAAAGTCACAGTCTTTAGGCTAATGGGACACATTCAACTTGGCTCTGAATTATCACATTTTGTGTGATGATAGTTAATCCCCTAAGCACTTCAACCAATCAGTGCTTTCTCCACTATCAAGTACCTAACTATCTAATGTTTTGGTTCCAAAATCCATTTCACTTTGTTCTTCTTGGCTTTCCATTGACCCATCTTGATTTTCCAGATCACTAAGTTGTCCTTCCCCAAACTCTAAAATTGTTGGCAAATTCCCCTGTTTAGGACAGCGCTTTTTGAGGCTAACCAAAAAGGGTTGTGGTAGAGAGAAGATGTCCACATTATTACCCAGGTCAACCCAAGTCATGCATGGAAATTTCTTGGGGTCTTTCAAAGCTTCTGTGATTTCCCTCAAGATGGATTTTGTCAGCCGGTTGCCATTAACTGCCAAATTAGAAAGGTGAGGAAGGGCGCTGAGAACAGGCATGAGATGGAGAAACATTTCATCTGTGAGTTCAGTAAAGGATAATTCCACATTCTCTAAGTCTTCTGAGTGGTGCTGGAGATAAAGCATTATTCGTTCCAGATCTTTCATGGTGAGAGGGATTCCTGTCAGGTCCAAGGTACCATCGTGGGGCTTCCCTACTAGAATGGCTTTTAAGCTGTAAAAAAGAATAAACAAAATTAAGTCATAAAATAAACAATATTTTATTAACATTTTGTGTGTAGCAAAATATGAGTAGGAAAATCTCATTGTTATAAAAATAGACACAAATTAAACTATTATGTTTCATCTTGATTTCAGCTCTATTCCTACTACCTTTTCAGTATATTACACTAATTTATAACATATACAAGCACACTTTTAAAAATGCCCTTTTAACACTAACAACTTTTCATCTCACCTTTGTGCAACTTAATAACATTTAAACGTAAAAAGGAAAAAACTTGTTAACGAGTTGATACATGCCCAAATCCTCACTATGAAGCAACAAACAAAACAGTAAATTATGAGGGCATACCCATACTGGACAGAGTCTGGTGAATGGTCCTCCTCTGAAGAAACAGACAAGTAGGTATCACCCCAGGCCTGCACTTACCAGAAAGTAGTCCCTCTATTACATGACCCTATGGTCAATTAGTCCAATAGAGGACAAGGCAATGACCAGTTACCTGGTTAGATAGTACCACTGGATCCACAAGCACTCTTGCCATAAAAAAAACAGAAATTACTCTCCCAGTAGATAACAAGGGGCCACCCAGTCCCCAGGTCCCAGTTAACAGTATTTACCCATATGGTGGCCAAAGACCCCTAGTTCATTGGCTAACAATGCCAAAAGTAAATTAATCCATTTCTCGCATAATATCACTTGTGTCTGCTTGTAAGAAACGAGAGGGAAGGCATATATATTTAGATTAACCTCTCCCTCCTTTATATGGCCATTTGTTAGTTTACTGCTATTTTTAGCTCCTGGAAGAAGAAATCATTAGAAATTCCATCACTGGTAAATGTGGGTATGTGGACAATACAATGAGACCAGTAGGTCTTCTTGTGTTGATATCTCAGGTTCCCTGTCAAACTAGATATGGGTCTCCTCTCACCACATGTGAAGTAAGATGGGTCGTGCCTGAAGACCAATAGTTTCAATGAAAAGATTAGTACTTTTAAAGAAAAGAGCAGAAAAAGTATACTTACAAAGAAATCTGATTAAAAGAAACATCACAAAGAATGTAAAGGGATGCCGCAAGTGCCATAACATCTTAACGCTGTGGTTTTTTTTCTTTTGTTTTTTTACACAAACTGTGCTGGAAAAGGGGAACTAAAGTTCCAACAATATTTCTGGCAGCT